AATATATATATAAATTATGTAGTCTACATTATTTTCAGCTGTACTTTTCTTTTCGTATTGAATTTTAATGAGAATAATACATGTATATATAATTTAATTTGGTATCAATACCTGCCCATGTTTTTATGGTGCTGTACAGCCAAGAAAAAATCCCCACGAGGACAATAAAGTATTATCTTATTTCTAACATGGTATAAAGCCTCTTATCTTATTTACAGAAATTATCTTGCTTGTTCCCAGGGAAAATGATCGATGGTTCACAAGTGGAGGTTGTCCTTGCAAAACCTGTGGACAAGAATGAATACAAGCTCGCCAAAGCAAAGAATTTGCAGCAGCAGGTAGGAATTTGTTTGAAAATACCAACAGTTGTCTTGATGCTTTGTGGTTATCTCTTCTCTTGCAAGTTTATCTCATTTCCTTTGTACTTTGACTTATATTGCTCAGAATGTGCCCCCCCCCCACCCCCATGGGCGGTGTCACTGACTGAAGTGTCTTTTAGGCCATACCCGAAGGGCGGACATTTCTCGTTCTAGTGCACAGTAGAATTGTAAATGGGCAGATCTACAACAGGGAACTGCTGCTTTTTCTTTTCTAATCCTATTGTCATTTTTCCTCAACTTCTTTTGTATGTTTGTCACACTCTTGTGGCCCACTTTTTCCGGGGTGCTTTGATAGTCGAAGCAGACTTTGTGCTGTTGAAGCTAGAGAGGTGAGCAGAGTAAGTCTGATTCCCTGTAGTGTAAGGACTTCTCTGTTGACATCCACCCCTTGGCGGTCATATGACCTTATGCAGTTTCGAGCGCCGTAAAACCACTACTAAAACTAAAACTAATCAGAATGTGGTTTTTGCACTTTCAAACAAGTGTCTATATTTTACTGTACCCGTCTTGGACATTATGTTATTCTGATTATGTAAATAATAATAATATGTATACATTTTCTTTATGAAAATAGTTCTGTTCAATTTTTTTTAACCTTTTATTTGTACCATTGAAAGCCAGTTTTGTTCTTCATTTACTGGTATTTTAAAGACTGCGGCTTATATAATATACTCGTTTTCTTTTCGTGTAATAAAGGGGTGTAGTTTGAGGTAATATTGTACTTCTCTGTGTTACAGTAAATGTAATTTAATTACATACATGTATGTATTTCTCTTCTCCCTCTTCTTCCAGCGACTTCTTTTAGGTGGCACTTACATTTTGTGTGTGTGTGTGTGTGTGT